GTACCTGTAAGTTAATAGGGTGTAAAATCTCGTAGTCCGTGAATAAAGACATGTGTGTCCTCTCTCTCGCACACATGATCGATTTGGTAACCGTGTAAGTACACGAAACTATTACTACAGTAGTCACAAAATAGTTGGTTAGCGAAGGAATAAATCGATAGCTTCTCATTTCGGAACTCCGATGTAGCAATTACACATGACCCATTCGCTGGAAATCTATTTGCTTCCATCTCTACACCGGTAGCGATCACAACAGTCATGAAAATGCATCCACCAGAAACGAAAGAAATACCGTTTCTACAAAGCGAATGTGACTGCAGTGAGGCTTAATTTACAACATTATAGACAACGCCACAGTGGATCAAAATATGTGAGGAAACAAAAGGATGGGAAGAACTACAGAAATCATTGACTGGTTTTCAGCTTACTGAGATAAACAGCAATCTTCTTGTTTAACAATTCCTTGGTGATTGCTAAATATGTTCAATAAACTTCATTTTAGGATATAGCACGCTGGAAGCTCATGATTTCCTCACATCTGTTTCTCCAAATCTGTGATTCTGGTGTGTCGTGATAACAGTCTGTACACCACTTATGCTAATGCCAAAACGGTTGTGACTCTTACAGGCTAGAGCTTCGGAACAATTGTTAATGAACATCCAAGAAATAGACTGAACTTATATCAAATGGACTTTCGCAGACAGGTCTAGAAGAAGCGATGAAAACATGTTTCCAGTATGCTTGTATAGAAAACCTTGATGAGAATAAGAGACAAACCATGGTCAAAAGTCAATAAGAGAAACAATGGTGCGATCAAGCAATCATCGGCGAATCATAGCACACCGACCACCGCAATGATAAAGCTCTATCAAACGATCATAAAGCTGGACGTTCCAATCCGTGACCGTGACATTGTTAATTGCATCCACGTAATATGCAGAGTTCCGCGAGCAGAACGTTTTGCATTGTACTTGTTTATTCTTGAAAGTTTGATGGACGGGTACTGCTACTGAGCAGGAGCACGACTAGGAATCTTAGCCAATTCTAAGTTCTGACAAGAATCTAGATGTCGATCAGTGGGCACAGTGAAGCGGAAGCTCATCTATTTTAATCAAATAATCCTCCATTTTTTCCAATTCGAGTCCAGCACCCCAACCGGAGGTACGCAAGGTTAAACTTCTGTGAACCTCTTCCCGTGGACCGACATGGTACGATTTGATATTGGGCTTGACAGAAACCATCCTGAATATTTCCTTGGATGGTGGAGGTGCCAAGACCATCACATGACGTTAGATTTAAGCTCATTCTGAATTTAACGGTTGGTTCTCAATAAGAAGTGACGCGAATCATGGAGGAAGCTTTTGACTCAAAGTGATATTATTCTTACCATTTTGGAGCGAAAAATTCCCTCATGAGGACAAGCGAACCCTGTGTGTCTTGGATGATGGTAATCTCGGATTGATGCAGATCTGAGGTTTCAAACTGTGAACCATCCGCTCAGACTGTTACAACCAGTGTTGTTTAGATGACCATCTCAGAGGCATCTTCATACGGAGGGAGCATTGGTTTGTCCGGTGATTCAATAGAGCTGGCAAGGGTTAGACGAACTGCAATATTGGAGAGGAGACCTGTCAATCAGACGTTGAATGCGAAATGTCCGCACCACTAACCGAAGAATTCTAGCCGCTGATTATTTTTGCCGTTTAATGGCTCATAGTGGGTAGAGTGTTCTTATTTCGGTTAATAACTACACTTCATCTCATCGAAAAAATAATGAACTTCAAGAGATCAGCCTTCGAAAATTGCTGGAAGTCAGCTGAGCCCGTCATCCGATCTAGAAGCATTGGAGAGAATGTTGGAATTTTCGTAAATATTAGTGCGGGAGTCAAAACACGAAACGAAAGCGTTGAAGCGTCAGTGTCATTAGGATAGATCGTCATGTAGATGAGAGGGATCAGATGATTTTAGGTGCAATTTTTCTTCTGCGGGCAAGTTTAGCTTGTACAGTTTCTAGAACATGCTTGATGAAGCCAGTGTTCTTCATTAATTCATCTTCAAACTGCTTACAGAATACATGGGTAACACTAGAAAACAGACCACACTGTAAAACACAGCTAGCACCAATCACGGAGAAGAGTTTGCCACGGTTCAGTTGCTTCGGTCATTTGATGGGTTTAACAAGTTTCCGGCAGGAGGATTTGACGGCGGATTCTGTCAGTCCTGATAGATCACGGGTCATGAAATTTGGAGTAATACTTATGTAATCCGAAGACGGCTTGAGAATGAACTACCGAAAAACAATCAGCTAGCCAAACTGAGTTGATTTAAATGCTCCGATGAGTATCTTATAGACATTACAGAGTTTTATTTGTTTTATTAAGGGGTGTAACAAACACACCATTGAGGACAGACAGTTCGAGACGAAGAAATTTCAAATGTTTTTTGAGAAGACCAGCAAAAATGATGAAGAACAATAACTGACAATGAGGAAAACACTGATAAATGAGAAAATTATGCTTTTTCTACCGTTGAATTATTTGATTTTTGACACCAGCAAAGACAGTCATCAAAATTTCTTCATGCAGTTATAAACATTAGATGTTCATGTTAAATTTCCATCGATAGTTAGACTCAAATATTTGACAGAATCTAATCTAATTGAGTGTTCTGAGTTGATAATATGGGGTGCACAGGGACGAGCAGACCGGAGAAGGGTAAATGTGCATTCGAAGCATATAGATAAATCGATGGTTAATCTGTGTCAAAGAGAGAAACCAAAAATTTAGGTCAGATTATTGTGAAAATTCGGAAAGATCTTAGGAGCAGAGATGAACTGATAAAGAACAACTACGGTTGTATGTTTAAATGAGGTCGGAGAATTCAATAACAGATCAATGACAGATGGAAAACAAGAAGGATGGAAAACCCGTTCCTGGAAGCACTCCTAAATTATTCACGGGAGTGTCGGATGCTTTCATACCAAGCAGTTATATTCCTAAAATAGTCATTCACACCAGCACGTGCTTTGGAAAACCATACTGACCACCATATTTTTCAGAGTGCGAAGGAGGAGGGAATGTGGGGCAGTCGAAAGTGGATGAATAATCTGAGCACATCTTGTAAATGTGAACAAAACGCCTATGAATGTGGTTACATGATGAACTAGCCAAGCGACGGCATTTGAACTGCTTGTACGCAAACCGGGTGCGTGATAAGAAGGAATAAGATGTTTGAACATAGCATACAGCGGCCGTTTCGTGCCGCATGATGTTAGGGCTACTGGATAAAAGAGTGCGTCTAGAATACTAGATTTAGGATTGGGAATGGGGATACTTGTGAAGACTCTCTAGTAATCAGTAATAAAGTATGGGCATAAAGGAGTTGCAAGAAATAAATGCATCGGTAGGAACAAGAGCATATTGCATTAGACCGATGTGACTATTTTGCTAGTAGGAAGCAGCTTGAATACTTCTGCGCTACGAAATGGGATAATGTGAGTGGCGAGGTATATGAGCAGTCGTATATGAAGACGTGATCTTGATGGCCAAAACTTAGTTTGCTACCACTCCGCAGCACAAACTGGTGTTTTGGGCAGGTGATTCCAATTACTTTGAAGTGAATTCAGTTGTTAGGATGGGTTCGTGTAGCGCAAAATCTATCACAATAAAAAATATAGGAGTTCCACAGAGTCCTTGACTGGACGATTATACCGGTACATTTATTAATCGCAATTAATGAAACCACCATCAGTCGTGCTCAGTGGCAGTGATTACGAATCTGCACCGTCAACCAAGCAATAGTAGAGTCGAATACCTGTGATAGCAGAAATTTAGATCACACTTCGGAGTTTACGGTGAATTACAGCCATCCCTATGTGAGTGAGAATAAATTCTCGGATCGTCAAATGGCGTCCGCGGAAGTAAGATGAACCTTTCAAATAATGCCATCTGGCAGCAGAATTAATAATAATGGATAAAGCCAGTGCTTATACCTGACTCGAGTAAGATGAAGCGTGGAACCTGGTAAACAAACAGTGGATAACTGGAAATCGCTGTTTCGAATACCTTCTGAGGGTTAAAATTACATTTATATACATTTTTCGAGACAACAACCACTGTGATTGAAAAAATCGAAATCATCATGGCGAAGAGCAACAAATAAAGGGTCTATGATTGCTTTAAGATTTTTTATTTATTTAGGAGTAGATAGGAAGCAGAACAGAGGTGTCTCAGTCCTTTGGGAAGATTTAGGTCATCCGGGTAGTACCGAAAGCAGAGTTATCTAACAGACTTTTAGTCGATGACAGAATATATGTATTTTTCTCCCTTCTATTAATTGATTGAATGTGTTGACTCCTTTGCGGTACGTGCCGAATTCGCTGTTATACGGTCTACGCTACTAATATTTCTACTCTGTACGTCACAGAATTTGTTGAAAGAAAAATCACCAATCAAGCGGAAATTACTGCGATTAGTGTGATGTCCTCGAAATCTATGGTGACAAAGAACCGAACAAAATTCAATGACCTACCGTTAACGACAAATTGGTCGCTGTCAGTTCCAAATCCACAGCATTTGACGAGACTATTCCTGGAAGTTTGACAGAAATACGGAGTCTATCCGGTGGTCGTACGGGATTTACATCAGGTGCATCACGACAATTGATCATGTCAAAGTCGGAACTGTAAGTGATGGTATAGGCCGGTTTTGATGGTCCTGTTTTAGCTGGAAAAAGTACGAAGTAAAATAAAATAATATCAGACCACGTAAACTTACAGTAAACCTAGCAAATCTCAGTGAAAATCTGCATAGTAGAGCACAATTAGGACACGGCGAGGAAAACGTTACGGTTGATGACAATAAAGAATCAACTTTTAATGAAAATGAAATGTTGACTGAATCAAATCGACATAAGTGATAGGGTTTGTAAGAATGAAAAAGCTGGGGGCTATCTGATCAATTCTTACCGATATCTAGGCCAGTGACCTTGGACAACTTTTTTATGGTTTCTCGCTGAATAGGATCAGTGCAGGATTGCAGTTCTTCTTCCATCCTTCGTTTTAGATCGGCTTGACATTCCTCATAGTCTGTTCGACGACGACGTATCACAGCCGGTCGCGCCATTCCTTTGTAAGTGGTTCCCTTCAAAGTATGCACTGCGCGTAAAATAGCCTCCTCTCGAGCTACAGTCTCAGTTCTATTTCGAGTGCTTTCAGTAGACGGCATGGGTTCCTCGGTTGAGTTGGGATCCAATGGTCGAGATAACGGCTCACTAGCAGACTTAATAAGCTGAGCTAAGTGAAAAGCCTGCTGAACCGTTTTACCCAAGCAAAGATTAAACTGACGTTGCAAACCTTCGACTGCGGTAACGTTAAGCAGACGACGCATTGCAGCACTCGTATTCGCCAACTCGAAAGCCTTTGGATGAAATGCAACATCATAAACCTGCGGATAAAAAGCACAAGTGTGTATAAAAATCTGGATGAAATCCACGAGGACGGCTTGACTGCTTTCAAACAGGTTTAGCCATTCCATCATTTTCCCCGAGGAACATACACCTTTATTTTATATAGCTGCAGGTCGATAGCTGGGTTGTGAAAAATCCTGATGATCATATTTTCATTTCACGAACCATTTGAAAATACAGGCACGCTATTACTGATTCCACTACCTCAGCTTTCTCACACCACCAAAGGGTATTGAGATACTTTATCATGTACCAGTTATATATATATTGTAGTGTAGTCTAG